CTCTGGGGGCACCCCGCATCCCGCTGCCCGCCCCACGCCCCCCTGCCCACCCCGCGTCCTGCTCCGTGCCCCGCTGCCCACCCCGCACCCTGCTGCCCACCCCACGCCGTGCTGCCCACCCTGTGTCCTGCTTATCCCGCTGCCAACCCCCTGCCCTTCTGCCCACTTCACACCCCGCTGCCCATCCCGCATCCTCCTGCGCACCCCCTGCCCTTCTGCCCACCCCGAACCCCACTGCCCACCCCGCGTTTCACTGCCCACCCCGTGCCCTGCTTGTCCTGCTGCCCACCCCCTGCCCTTCTGCCCAACCCACATCCCACTACCCACCCTGTATCCTGCTGCCCACCCCTCACCCCGCTGCCCTCCCCCTGCCCCGCTGCCCACCCCGCGTTTTTCTGCCCACCCCTTTCCGTGCTGCCCACCCCATAACCCACTGCGCACCCCGTAACCCGCTGCCCACCCACGTCCCACTGCCAACCCCGTGCCCCGCTGCCCACCCTGCTGCCCACCCCTCACCCTGCTGCCCACCCCGTGTCCCGCTGCCCACCCCGAACCCCGCTGCCAACCCCATTTCCTGCTGCCCACCCCGTGTCCTTCTCCGTGCCCTGCTGCCCACCCCATGTCCCGCTGCCCATCCCATTTCCTGCTGCCCACCCCAACCCCTACTGCCCACCCCGCACCCTGCTGCCCACCCCGCGTTTTGCTGCCCACCCCCTGCCCCACTGCCCAACCCGTGCCCCACTCCCCACCTCGAACCCCACTGCCCATCCCTCACCCCGCTGCCCACCCCTCACCCCGCTGCCCACCCCCTGCCCCGCTTCCCGCCCCGCTGCCCACCCCGCTGCCCACCCCCTGCCCCGCTGCCCACCCCGTTTTCTGCTGCCCATCCCTCACCCCGCTGCCCAGCCCCTGCCCCGCTGCCCACCCCGCGGGCTGAGGGGCTCCCCACTCGCGTCCCCCCCAGGACAACGGCCTGAGCAGCCTCCTGGACACCATCATCGCCCGCGTGGTGGAGAGGAAGATGCAGGAGCGGCAGGGGGGGCCCGAGCCGAGCCCCCCCGGCTCCCCGCAGCCCCCCGCGTCCCCCCGCACCCTCACCCCCGGCGGGCTGCTCTGGCTGCGCCACCCCGGCCACGCCAGCGACTACGAATTGTTCCAGGAGCACTGGAGGCAGGGCCAGGTGAGCCCCCCGCGTCCGCGGGGGTTTGGGGGGGACAGCCGGGAGCCCCCCAGCATCCCCCCTGAGCCCTGGCTGCCCCCGCAGCCCGTGCTGGTGTCAGGGCTGCAGAAGACGCTGGAGCCGCGGCTCTGGGAGCCCGAATCCTTCCAGCCCTCGGGGCAGCAGGAGGAGGAGGAAGAGGAGAAGGAGGTGGAGGTGGAGGTGGTGAACCTGCGGGCACCGCCGAGCCGAGTCCGGATCAGCAGCCGGGAGTTTTGGGGTGGCTTTGCCGCCAGCGCAGGTGAGGGGACAAAGAATTTGTATTTGTGGCAGAGAAATTTGGCACGGAATTCCTGTCTGTGGGGTTGTCAGAATCTGTGGTATTGATGGTTCTGAGATTATAAAAAGTCTCTGTCTGTCAGCCCCCTGCCAAAGCAGAAGCCAGAATTGGTCTGTGCTGGTTTCCAGGTTGTTTATTCTGTTGATCTCTCACATGTTCTGCTGCCCTGCCCAGCTCTGTCCTGCAGGGCAGCGTGTGGGGCTCTGCCCTCAGTGGGATGTGACAAACATTAAATACCAGAAACTCCCTGGGCTG